GCTGCTGCTGCTGCTGCTGGCGCTGGGTGGTCTGCTGCTGCTGCTGCGGCGCTGGGTGGTCTGCTGCTGCTGCTGCTGGGTGGTGCTCTGCTGCTGCTGCGGCGCTGGTTGGTATGCTGCTGCTGCTGCTGCTGCTGCTGCCGCTGGGTGGTCTGCTGCTGCTGCGGCACAGCAACCGCTGGAAAAACCAAGCCAAAGAAGTGATGGAAAGGGGGCACCAAACAAAACCTGCTCCTGTCAGGTGGCAGTTGCTTACTGAATGAGACTCGACGCACCACAAAGCACATACTAACACTGCTTCTCTAGAGTTTCCCACGGGACTTGCAAGTGGACCGGCAGTTACCCAATGAGAGTGACTGTGCAGCCCGCCCCCGACTTGTTTGGACGAGGAGGCCCGGCTAGCTTTCGTTCACCCCCTCTGGCCTCAAGTGGTCTCAGTTGGTCGGGTCATCCTGCAAGACATTTTGGGGGGGAATTGGTTTCCCACTGGAATCCAACAGGTGAAATTCCCGCTTAATCCCTATATTATAGGCCTCCAGTCGTACCGGATCGTTTCGTTTCGGTGGGACGACTGGGGGCCCGGGTGCCAGGAGGGTCCAGTCATACCGAACCTGAGGAGGTACGAGGGTGTCGGTGTAGGGAATATCACCTTTTGTTCCCAGGGAAACTGAGACGGTCAGCAGCCTGGACCCGACTTCATCCGTCACGAACGTTTATAGAAATCTCGCTTGAGACTCAGACCTGGTAGCTGAACTGAACCTTATATAGACTAACATAGTATGTATATAGCTGTATATACATACTAGATAGATAGATAGATAGACAGATTAGGTTAGATTAGATTAGATTAGATAGATAGAAAGAAAGATAGATAGATAGAGAGAGAGAGAGAGAGAAAACAAAAAAACAAGACAATGCATTCAATATGCTTATGCCGCCACATGTCCTTTGATGGCCACGAAATCTTGTGTTGGAAGAACGCTGCCTGGCGTATTGATTCAGCCTTGATCATCAGCCTAGCTAGCCCCCGAAACCGGGGGGGCCCAAGCTTCCACCGAGAGTTCTGTAATTATACCAGGTAGATCATGGACACCCAGAATCACCACTGCTCAGGGCCAGTCTACTAGACACCCATGGCCCAGGGTCGCCCTGAAAAGGCCTGATTCGTGTTCAGCACAAGTCAGATGACGATAGCTGACGCGGATCCCTCCCCAAGCCCGCAGCGGCTTGCAAGGTCAGCGGCTCTAGCTTGGCCGAAGGCCTCGATAGTCATATGACTGTTTTTTTTGGAGGTTGCTGTGGGAGACATAGGGCAGTGGTTAAAAGAAAGGGTTGAAAAGATCGCAGGTTGTAAAAACATGTAAAAACAAAATGGCACCTGAAGTCTTCATATATACCCAAAAATTATGGGACACCTTGAAACACCGATGGACTGTAGCGGTATGCGGTGCCTTGGGACTCCTCATGGGCATTAATTTGTATACTTATTATTCTTATTATGTTTATATGTGTTTTAGGTGCCAGGTGTATTAGATATACATTTAGATGCAGTTCCAGACATTTTACACCACACCAAAAAAACACATGCAGCTCCAGATGTCCTACCATCGAGTTCCAAGATGCCAAAGAGAGGAACAAGAGGCGGAGACCCTACACATGACGTACCATCTAAATACACGTTGGATCCACTTTTCCCTGGTGCGGCATGTTTTTGTTGTTCACACTCATTGAATATCATATTCTGACCTATTCCCACTTCTGCGGACCTAGTTAAGACTTACTAACCCTTGTTTACGTCAAAGCTAGGCTTAGCCCAGCTTAGCTAGACAGGGTCCGCAGAAGCACTCAACGAGTGTCGGGTAGTGTCGACACCGTGCGGGGCCGCGCAGGAGCCGAATGTGACCGAAGCAGCCGAGAAAGACAGAGACGGAGGTCGATGAAGACGAAGCATGGAAACGCGGAGGTCAAACGGTTCTATTGACCTGGTTCCCTCCAAAAAGCTAGGCCCTACAGGTCATTTGACTCATGTTGGTCATGAAAAACAACTACTCCAACCAGGACCTTCAAAGTGACCTCTTTAAACTCTCTAAGTGACCTTGTACAGACCTAAGTGACCTCATCCTGGGATATCCAAGGGTCACTTTGAAGGTCCTGGAAGAGGTTATGATAGAGACTACTCCATGTGGCCGACGGAGACACATTCGGGTGGGTTGGGAGTGGTCTCCGGTCAATCACCCGTTGGCTCGGGTGTTCAATCACTCCACGGATCTTGGGAGACAACTGGGAAAAGAGACAACTTGCTTGGATCCAGTCGTACCGAACCTCAGAAGGTACGAGGTACTTGGACCCTCCAAACCTACATAACGGTGTCGAACACATCACTGTACCTGAGAAGGTGCTTGCATCCCAGTATGCTGGGCAAAATCCAAGAAGATCTTAGTTGAGACGAAGGACGTTTGCCTACAGACGGAAGTCCTTTTGGAACAAAAAAGACCCCAAGAACCGAGGAGAACAGTTGCGCACGCGCACCCAGAGCGGCGACACTGGAAGTGGATGAACATTGGTCTGCAAATCCATTATTTGAGGCTGTCCCAATTCCATGCTTGTAAAATCTTCTAATTAGGTGGTGGGCAGAAGACAGTCCGTCCTACACCCTTTTTGGCGATGAGAGAGGCAGTTACGTCATGTGACGCTGGCAATGGGAGTCCAGTGAGGTAAGCAGGCCTCGAGAACATATATAAGCCTGACACGCCATGGGACTGCCATATTTGCCTACATTGGGGTGGTTTCAAGGGTCAATGTAGGCATATATGGCATACATGGAGTGTCTCGGTAAGCTACCCTAGGGATCCAGTCGCACCGAACCTCAGAAGGTACGACTGGACCCTCCAAACATACATGACTGTGTCGAACACATCACCGTACCTGAGAAGGTACGACTGGATCCCTAGGGATATAAGCTACACTCCCGAAAACTCACATAGACCCTCACAATGGTCCTTTGCAAGATTGTTTTCCTCTAGAAACCAGAGGTTTTGGGGTTCCATGTCTATCTTCAGGGCAGTATTTGAGCTATGCTCTGGATGAGCCCAACCACACACCCACTGCGACCCCCCCTTTTTCAGCCTCGCAAACGTCCATCCTCTCCCTTACCAAGACCCGCAAGTGATGATGGAAGACTCATTTCCTCTACAAGCAGGCTTTTGTTCCTTTTCCAGTGAGTCGGAAGAGAATAACCTCAATCAACAATCCCTAAGCTGTAATTAAACTTTCTCAAGAAACCACACATGAAAAACACATTTGATTGGAACTCCAGCTCCATCCGACCTGTTTCTATGGCAAAAGCCTCACCTTGTCTGACAGAGGCGAGGGTCGAGCACCTGCACTTGCAGAGACCTTGTCAGTGAAGGTCGGGACGGTGTTGGAAAGCGGTCGCTTCGGGGGGTTCCGAGGCTCGGCGGTTGCTGCGGAGGTCGCGGGCGAGGTCCGGGACCCTCTTGGAGTCCCCTGGCTTTGTGAAGAACTGTATAGACCAGCCCATAGGTACACGAAGTCGGTTCCTATAGTAGGATCACTTTACAAAATTGATTGGTGATGAAGTTGATATTTCTTTTGGGGTTGTGGCCCTCACACTGGGATATGTTGGATCACACCTGAATCGCGTAGAATGAAAACATCACGAGCGACATGATTCCGTCAGCCACTCGGCAGGGGCATTTCAGCTATCAGGTCGCTTAAAGAGAAGCCAAGTCTCGTTGACAAGCCTACTGTAAGTCATGAGGCATGACTTCTGATTGACCTTGCCTCACAGGTCATATGATCATTGCACCCTCCTTCCAACAAACTGGATGATGGCCCCTGGGAGAAGGAGTGTTTTCCTTTACAGGCTTGAGTTGTTCGCTTTTCAATGATTGGAGGGCAACGGGTAAAGGATATTATTTGGGTTTGTCCCATGGTGAGTCCTTAAAGGGCAAAACTGATTGAACAGCCTTTAGAGTCCAAGTTTGCATGGCCTCATGTTGGCCCTCATGTTATTCTCCAGACTGCTTGTCACTTGCAATTGGGCTGTTAAATGCCGCCATTGGGCTGTTAAACGCCCCCCGGATCATCATGGAAGTGGAAAACGATGGAAAATGGCCCCACATGTCCCTCTACGAATACGTGGTGAACTTCACTTGCACGTTGATTCCTGGGCGGGAAAAATCAACAAGAGAAACTCATCTCACAAATGGATGCAAATGCTCTTTCAGAGCAGTTCATGGGTTCTACGCTTGCCTTCGCGTGCCTGCAAGCCAGCTCAGACACGTGGAGGATGTCCTCCACATCTCATGTCAACACATCGGGTGCACTCAAGTTGCCTTTGTTTGCACATGGTTTGCTCCAAGCAAAACTGACCTTAAGTGCTTCCACCGACGTCAACTCACGACGACGTTTTCACTCGTGGGGTCGTCGAATGCCGCTTGAGATGGCTCGGCTCGTTGGTACAAGAAGACCTCCAAATCGTAGACCTCCATGCGAATGCCGGTCCTTTGGGGCAAACAGGATTCATGCTCGGTCCCTACACCGACCGAAGTCTCGCACCTCAGCTTCGGTATGACTGGACCCGACAATGGCACCCACCCCAGTCCCACCTTCTCAGGTTAGGTACGACTGGAGGCCTAGTGGGTCAAACACTTCCGTTCCCTCATCGTCATGCCTCCATGGAGTGGCGGCTTCTGGGGCCGCCGCCCTGTCGCGCGGAACGGGCACCAGCTGTGTCGGGCACTGAAACGCGGTCGGGCGGGTCGGGCGGCGTGGGCGAAGTAGAGTGGTCTTTTGCCTGTTGATGTGTCCTTCTCAGAGAATGGGTTGAAGGATCCCTCAGTGGTAATATCAAGGGGGGATGCTCTCTTATTGAAGGTGATTTTGAAGCATTGTTGAACATCATTTGTAGCAGCTCGCTCTAAGATGACACACCTTTTCATCCACATTTCGCTGGGAGGGGTTGCATTGACCCGGCCACAAGAGAAACGCCTTAGAAGAAATCTACTGTTGGGGGTATCCATGGGTATCTTGATGTTGCATATGAATGTACTTTCGCGCAAAACCATCACCAAGGGCCCCAGTCACGTACTTCGGCAAATTCAGAGTTTAAAATCGTGCATGACTACTGTACTAGTAACAAGAAGCTACTATATATTAGCTGTTTGCTAGAAAAGGGGGCACTTGCGGTACTTCAGCATCATGACAGAATACTTCCTGGAAACAGAGAGCTCATTACTACTAGTAACTCGTACATCGACTGATGTGCGGCGCTCCTTTCCGTCCGCGACCTCTGTGCGCCTCCGCCCGAGGCCAACGCCCCTCGGCGTCGCTCACGGCCGCGGGGTCAGCGGTGCCGCGCGTGGGGTCGCCGAGGGTTGGGACCTTATGGGGAAGTACATCTTAGTACTATTTAGTACTATATGTACTGAAGAATTAACGTAATATTATAGACCTTATAGGAAAGTACTATAGCACTTATACTACATTCCCCGAAAAGATGTTGTTATAGCACTTGGCACCGAGTTCGGAAGATCATCTTCAATCCTCATACCTTAAAGAGGTGGTGAATTCACAAAAACTCCACTTCCATGATTGGTTCGTTCTGCCAAAGCCGTGGTCGACGGGGCAGTGGAAGCACATGGTTTGCATTGGTTGTATGGGTCTGAGGGGGCAGTCGACCTATGATTTATATACCGACATATCCCATAGTATTAGATGTACTAATCAGGCCTAATTATCGCAACATGGTGAGTCATCGTGTGCATTTGGAACCTCAAAATCCTCAAGGAGCAGAGAATTGGACTAAAGTTCCATGAAATATGGTGGTTACCATGCTAGTTGGGATATGTGTGGCCGATGTTTTACGTTCAACATGTGATGTTCCAAAGACTGGTAGAACGAGTTCCAGACGCCGATGGGCCGATCGTCCCAGCTGCCCCAAGGTCCGCCAAGTGGGGCACCCTTTGGCGAACTGGGCGAGGTGCGCAGCGTCGTGGGCGTCGTGGTACTTTGCCAAGGAGTGCATGGATTTGTTTTTTGGAAGATCATTATGTAGCGTAATTCATGTAGTTGTAATCAACTTGTTATTTGATGTAATTTATTACACTAATGTTTTTGCAAAATTAGTTGTAATCAAGTTGTAACCCCAGTGGTCAATGTCAGAGGGACCGCCCCATGATTCATAGCAGAACAACTGACAAGTTGAGTGGTTGAATGTGGTTGACAAATGTTACAGATGCCGAGAGAGCCTCATTTCTCCGCCACCATTACAAAATTGGAATTCAAACAGTTTCAACACACGCCATTGCATGGAGCTTCCTTAATCTGTTTTGGGGTTCTCTAGATGTCACCAGGTTCTACTCCTGGATATGGGCTAACATGCACTGCCCAGCCCATCCTATCCTGAAAACATCGTCCCTGTCAGTGAGGTCACATTCTGGATGGCCGCCTTGGACGACCGGGGCCTCGGAATAGCTCGCCGGGAAAACTGAGAAACTGGCTGCTGCGATACATCCCTAGGCCTCCAGTCGTACCTTCTGAGAAGGTGGGACTGGGGTGGGTGCCATTCTCGGGTCCAGTCATACCGAACCTGAGGAAGTCCGACGAAGTCGGTGTAGGGCATCGAATTTGCCCAAGGACATGGAAGGCCTTCGTACCTGAAACATGTTCAGATGGCTTACAGACCGACTAATGGCGACGGATTAATAACCCCCCCTTTCAAGGTCAACATCAGGTGTTGGACCTCAAAGTTTCAAGGGTTGCCCTAGGCCTCACCCTCAAAGTTTGTAAGGTGTTGGACCTAGGGTGTTTTGACCATTACAGTTGCTTCGGGTCCAGGGTTGCCTTACCCAAATTCATGCTCGAATCGGTGCCCGAGGCCTGCAGGCGCACGAAGACCCGACGCGGGGTCTCGTCGACGCGGAGACTTCGGTGTGCAGCGACGTCGGGTGGTGGGGGGCCTCAGTGCTGGGTTCAGCGATTGGTGCATTTGAAGAATGATGGATACTGGAGACCCTAGAAGTCAGACATCCAGTTCGACTATATTACTGACTGAAGTAAAGGAAATTCCTGAACTTGGGTCACCTAGTCAGACAATTCTTTGTAGGGGATAGAAGGGGTGACCCCAGGTGAACAAGAGGTTTCTTTTTGCTGGGTGGTGGTTTTGGAGGGCTGACTCGGGGTGGTGGATATGATACAATGTACTTCGGATTCATTTGTCACCCACTGACGAATCAAGTTTTGTTTTTGTTTTTGTGTGTGTGTGTGAGTTGAAGCCAGCAACCACGTGCTTCTCGCTGGGGTTTGCAGAAGACGATGGAAGCCGCGCTTGGGAGTGTTGGGATAGGTTGGGATGTTCGTCAGAGGCTTCTTGATGGCGACAGAGTTTGTACCTGCCACATGCTGGTTCGGTTTAAACCCCGTTGTGAGGATTAAACTGATTAAACCCTAGCGAACTGAGGGTCCTTTCTGAAGTAGTATAGTACAGATGATCAACGGCTCAATTGAAGGTTCTTCTTTGCTTTGTCAGTTTCATTTCTTTTAGTTTTCAGCCATGGGATGTTTTTTGCTCCATGTTGTTCTCCTCTTGAGCGATGGCAATGTTGAATATCATGCTCCCCCCAAGTAAAATTAACAGCGCAAACATCGCGATGCTATGCATTTGTGGACCTTTCCTTTGAACGGAACCAGGCCACAAAACCTGAAAGAGCCTGACACGCCACAACAGGCACTTTGCAAGAGCTTCTCCTGCCCTTGCTGAAGGTGACGCCACCCACTATCTGTACTGAGGCCGGATGCGTCTATATATATATATACTCCAAAACGCGCAAAATTGTGACTTTGGACTTTGAGGGGGTGGTGGAACTGTCACAGAATACTAACTTCATCTAACTACTAACCACTTCGGCGAATTCTATTTGGAATATGTTGGAATCAAACATGGGGCTTTAACAAATCCCTTTCGAATGCAGCACTTGAAGACTCGAGGACGGCGTTGTTCAAGTTCACATGAGGAGTCTGGCAAAAAGAATCAACATCCTTGAACATGTTGGAACTTCTAGATTGGTATGACGCATGCATGGCAGGCCTATAGATTTCACAAAGAACTACTGCAGTATAATGGATCTTGATTCTACCGGCGCACGTGTCAGACCATTTCTCACCGGAACCGGTGTGACGCTCTTCACACGAACCACACGGCGAACGCCGCAGGACGCCGAAGAGCTGCCGCCCAAGAAGGCGAAGAGCTTCGTCCTGGAACTGCGAAAGAGCTTGGAGCCCCTCGAAGGTGGCGGCCGAGCTTTTTCGGAAACACCTGGCGAGCTGCGGTGTTTTTTGTGCGAGGTTGATGTGTTTCAGCATATGTGAAGGAAGAGATTTGGTTCTCCCCGCTTTTTCTAAACAAATTTCCAGAATCCAAGTTCACGCGACTGTTTATTGGGCAAGGAGATTGATGGCCCACGCAGGTTCCACAAGTTGTTTTGTGAGTGGCTGCTCAGAATGTCGTATTTTGTCGTGATTCTGCAGATGAATGACCGCATCAGGAAGCTGATGTTGCAGAGGTTTATTCTCAAAGTGCAGCTAGTTTTAGGTTAGATTTTGTGCAGGCTACTGCAGTTCAACAATTCTTTCATGATACACCAAGAGTCCTCCACGGGCCACAAGCCATAAGCTGCCACAAGAAAACTTGCAACTGGTGGTTGTATATAACAATACTTATTTTTGTTATATTACGTACTGTTATATACAATAGGTTAATTATGTATTAGTATATTAGTATTTGTCATATATAATCACACATATATTACTTATAGCGGCCAAAGAGTTGGCTGTTCTAACCGGCTCTTTTTCTTTTAGGCACTCAGTTGTAAAAGCACACACACATGCCCCAGACCATGCTAGACTGACGTCTCTAGACCTAGAGGTGTCCTTGAGCCGCGGCTGTCTCCTTTGAGTCTCCTTTGTCCGACGGCCAGAAGCCGCGCCCGAGCACGCGGCCGAGCTCCTCCGCCGGGGGTTTTGGAGCCGAGCCGAGCGGAGCGGAGGGGGGAAACGACACAGGTTTGAAAGCCCAGGCTGCTCGGGAGATGTTTTTAGGAGTGGCATGACCAGAGAGAGAGAGGAAGAGGGAGAGGCTAGTTGGTTTTCCTTGGGGAGTAGCTGCACTATGACGTAAAACATCGTTTCCACGACTCAGTTGACAGAGTCAGTGGTGAAATGACCGAACTGGCGATCTTCCAGACTGTCCGGTCCGTGCGGCTGGACAGCCACCGCCCTAAGGGGAACTCACTCCTTCACTCCTCAAGGTCAGGCAGCTGCTGAGGGTGTTCCCCAGCAGATGCTGGAGCCTTTCCTCGCACGCTTGCTGCGGGTAGACCGAGCAGGGCGTGGAACACCCAGAGCCTAGACGAGCACCGCGTGTTCTTCGGAAAGATGGGGGGATGTTTAGGGTAGCAAACGGAAGTGTTCTAGCCCCACTAGGAGATGCTGGAAATCTAGGTGCGGGGTGTTTGTCATATTAAAGGTTGTGTAAAGTGTCGAGTTCAGACCCGGGTGCTCAATATTGTAGATGATGTGAAGGGACACGGTCAGTGTGAGAAGGTTTGGAAGCTTTGCAGCCTACTTCTGGGGTAGAATTCCAAGGCATCGCATGGCATGAGACATCCATGGTACTAAACTGGCACATAGATGTTACACCAAGGCACAACGCCGCCTTCTTCGGGGCGGTTCATGCATTGACAGCTCCCAGAGCCTTTATGTATGGCGGTAGCATTCAGGGGTCCATGTTTGGTCTGTATAATCATGTATGGTCCATGGTTCATTAATCCTTGTTATGGTGTATTTGGGCAGAATGAAGTTCAGTAGACACATGTAGACAGGCGACCGGGTGTCCGGTGCGTAGTGACTGGGCGATCCCCCCTTAAAAGACACGGGCCGTAAGAAACAGCGACCTTTGGCACGTCCCGCTGACACCGGCGGTCGTAGCCTCTCAGTGTCCCCAGCTCTTCTCTACCCGGTCCAGGCGGTCCGTTGGTCACCGGGTGGGTCGACCGGCGGGTGCTGCGCCACCTGGTCTGGGACGTGCTAGAGTTAAGAGTTCAGAAGCCTGCAGGTGAAGAGTATGTCCAAATTACGAAAGCCAGCCTTCGTAGAAGGCGCTAGCGGAGTTGTGTCTGGCGAACGAAGTGAGTAGTTAGGGGTCTGGGGGGGTGGCCCGAGAAAGGTATACGTCAACTCAGCACATGCTGGGAGAGGAGGGTGCTCCGAGGGAAGGTTTTTTGAGGTTGTGTTGGAGGTGATTTTTGAGGGGTGGTGATGCAAGAAATGCCAAATGCATCATTTGCATCATCTGAATGGAAAGGTGTAGTTGGCACCTTGCAAGGTAGAGAGACCTAGGGTAGCTATAGTGCAGCTACCAGGTATAGTACTTCAAGTTCCCTTTCCGTCAACCGCTTGAGAACCTCTACACACGCACAGCAATCCACAGCCTTGAAGTCTCATTCGTGCTTTGAACTTGTATAGATGTGTAAGAGGTATAGCAACATACTATTTATACGGACCCAGGGTAGCTACAAGTAGCTACAGTTCTGGTATGGCGCGCATGAGGCTTCAAAGCTGTGGTTTTCAAGCTAAAGTCAAGGTGGCCTGAGACCAGGGTTTGCTGCCCTAAAACACTCTGTTCAGGCCACCTTGAAAATAAAGGTGTAGTTGGCACCTTGCCAGGTATAGACACCCAGGGTAGCTATGTAGCTGTGGTTTTCAAGCTAAATTCAAGGTGGCCTGAGACCACGGTTTGCTGCCCTAAAACACTCTGTTCAGGCCACCTTGAAAATAAAGGTCTTGTAGCTACAATTCTGTTCCCAGGTATGGCGCGCATCAGGCTTCACAGACAGTGGAAATAGCTTCTTCCCGGCTTTGCACTGCGAATCAGCCCCACAAAAGCGCTGGCTTTCGTTTTGCAGCTTCTCAGGTAACCTTTTTTATGGATTTTTTATGGTTTGGATATGATCTGGGAATATGTTTTTTTTACAATTTTTTTGTGAAGCCGCAATTGGAATATGCGGCACTGTTGGGTGCTCACTGTGCCCTTCCTGTGACCACGCAGCCGCCCCTGGAAGATCGCAAGGATCCGGTTTTGGGGCTTCTGTTCAATATTCCTGGTTGGGTGTTTTACGTGGGTTCGGGGGTACTTGTGAGGAGGGCCCAGGGCCTAGGGCGGGGCGTGTGATGGCAGTCCCCTAGAGGCCCGACACCAGACTCACACCTTTGTGCAAAGTGTATTCTTCCCCATAAACAAAACCTGGAGCTCTGGAGCCACCGTATTTTTTCTGTAAAGAATCCATATTGTTAGAGAAGGGCGCAAATCATATAAAAACCATAAAACACAGTGTGTTTTATGGTTTTTATATGATTTTTACTTTTCTCTAACTTTTGAACTCATAAAACTACCAATCTGCCAAAACCATAAAAAAACCATAAAACACAGTGTGTTTTATGGTTTTTATATGATTTGCATCCGTCTCCAACAATATGGATTTAATATGAATTTTTTATGGCCTTTTTCAGGCCCTATGAGGTGAGCCGAAGCACGTGCCAGACATACCCAAGTGTGTTCCCTGGCGTCTAGCGCCACAATTTTCCAAGTTCTGTGACAGGTCTGACAGCCCCCTACATGAGAGTTTCCAAGTTCCCCTATATGAGAGTTTCCAGCTTGACCACTGACAACACATTCTGCTTATTGCAGCCCTGGAGCGCCTATTTAATAGGCCTATTTAGTAAATTTAGTAGTCCTCAAGCTATAAAAAAACAACAAAAATATCATAAATCCAATTTTAGCCTTTTTCACAACCATAAAAAATCCATATCTCCAAGCCATTAAAAAAAAAAACAAAAAACATAAAACAAACAATAAAAAAATATTTCTGGAAATGAGCCCTGTGCAGAGGTTATGAACTCATAATGCTAGAGGGCCTGTGTTGGTTGCTGGTCGACCTGCCCGCGGCGCCCAGGTCGGAGAGTTTGCTGCTATGTTACCAGCTCCTAGAGCTGGCTCCAGCTCGCTCCTTTGGTGAGGCAGGGCATTTTACTCCGAGTGCAGCGTAGCTTATAGCAGCTGATCAAGCATCTTTTTGTTTGTTGCACTGAGAAACAAACCATCAGCTCGACGTTCACAGCACGCCTTGGAAGATGATCCCACTTGAAGTCCTATGTTTGGGCCGGGTGCAAGTCGTGCTTTCTTTTGAAGCACTTTCTTTGGGGCTACACTGCACCTGCTAGCCGTTGCTAGCGGCGCTGCTAGCGTGTTACGTGTTTAGGCAAACTGTAAATATGATTATTGATGAGCCTTCAAACCTCGCAGATGTTGGAAGTTTGATTTGTCATACTCATATCTGCAACGGCCTCATGGAAGTGGACTCTGCTGGAGCCCGGAAAGAACATGCAATCTCCAGCTGACCAGTTGAGCACCCAAAGTATGGTGGTGGCACCTTGGACAATCTCAGATGATCACCATAACCCAGGGCTCCAGTCGTACCTAACCTGAGAAGGTGTTTAGGGTGGGTTTAGAGGGTCCAGATACCTTCTGAGGAGGTACGACTGGAGCCCTAGGGATAATAGAAGACCCTGGCCATGTCCCAATCATCCGTTCGAATATTGAGTGTGCATTGTCATAAGGGAGACACCCAGAAGCCCAAGGGGTTTTTATCCTAGTCCACTCTCCATCGCGGCAGGCGCTGCTCTCCGTTTTGGTGGCGCAATTGGCACAGCATGGCCGGCCACGGGGCCCAGCGTTCAAAAACCTTCAGAGCCAAATTTGATGGTTGGTGCGTCCCATGTCCAATTCAAGGAACCTGGAAGGTAAGTGTTCTGCTTTTTTGAAGGGAGGGGGAGGCGCCAACTGGCTTGGGTTTGAACCAAGGCTATACTTTGCACTCTTTTTTGAAATGAGTCCCGGACGCTTTTCACAAAAATGGGTAGGGCTCAGTGGAGATCCCACATTTGGCTCAGGCAATCCATTTTCGATGTCTTTGATGCAGCCCATGGCCACATGTGGTTTGTGGCTTTATGACAAGACCTCTTTGATTTCTTTGCCAGTGTGGATACGTTCGTCATCCGACGACTTGTATACTTCACCTGTCAAAAACGGCGGACCTTCCGAGGCTTCATCATGCAGAAGGGGTTCTCCGGCACGCTGTGCCTTGGAACGTGAAGGGCAAGTGAGTTCGGCGGTGACCCCGTGATTTCGGCATGTGGTGCGTGTTGGTGAGTGAATTCCCCTGGTGAAATCCTGAAAGAAGACCAACATGGCCAGATTTGTTCCAACGCCGTAGAGCCGTGACCCAGAAACAATCCTGTTTGGGGATTGGTTTCAGCTGCTGGTTCTCTCAGAAGCTATGGAGAAAGGTGACTTTGTCTCTTTCTGTCGCAGAATTTGAAGGAGCCAGTGTTGGTCCAGAAGACACAGCTCGGAGTCATTGGGTTAGGTTTGTTCCTGAGAGCTGGGCGCCTAGGAAGGTGGCTCGATGCCCGGCGTTCAGTGGCTTCTTAGGTCAACACTTGACACCGATCCGTGATGGATCAGGTTTGTCCAGCAGCAATAGTGAGGTTTAAGGACAGAAGTCTCAAACATGGCCGACATGGCCTCGGTGAAAGAACTTGCCATTTGCATATTTATCCCTAGGGCTCCAGTCATACCTGCTGAGAAGGTGGGACTGGGGTGGGTTTAGAGGGTCCAGATTCCAGATACCTTCCGAGGAGGTACGACTGGAGCCCTAGGGTATGTAAAGTTCTCTTAAGACATCAGACATCGTGCAAGCAAATCGATGTGAGTCAGCCCTTTGCAAGAGCCTTCCGTTGAGGTGTCGACGGGATCCGTGAAGATGAGGACATTTCAACCCTTGTGGGGGACCTCAGCACGACCTATCGAAGCTTGGGAAGCTTCACTTCCAGTAGTACCTCCTCAGAAGGTATGACTGGACCCTCCTGGCACCCACCCCAGTCCCACCTTCTCAGAAGGTACGACTGGAGGCGTAGGGATTGAGTTTTTCCCTGTTTCCTGAACCCTCCTAGTGCCCTACGATGCGGTGCCTGTTCCTGGGCCTGTGTCCCACATCCGAAAAGCAGGGATAGACCCCGCAATCAGCACCCACCCCACCCCGAAACGGAGGCCACGCCAGAAGCTTTGCGGAAGCGACAAGTCAGCGGTGGTGAGTGGCGGTGCTGTAGCTGGGCATTCGGTGTTGCTTCCCAGGGATGGTGTTGGGAGGTGTACTGAGGTGTAGGTCGGTCAAAAGAACAGCAGAGGATGACTGAGGACAATTCCTGCAACCGACCCTCTAACCACGGTGGAGTATTAACAGATAGAGACCCTTCAGCATGGGGCCCCACGCAAGAATGACCCGTCGACGGTCCAACTTGATGGATCTTGGGATTGTTTGGAGTGGCCATCACAGGTCTACTTTTGCTTCATGTGCGCAGCTATTCAAGCTACTCACCGCACTATAGATGCTTTAAGTGATATTTCAGCTTCGACCACCTAGCGACCTAGCGTTTCTCTCGGTTAGTTTTCTTTGACCTCTTGTGTCCATCTCAGGATGGACTCTTATGTGCAGCTTGGTGACAGCCAAAGGTGCGCCGTCCGCCGCGGGCTGATGCCTTGAGTGCCTGGTTGTTGGGTCATTTTGGGTTTGTGGGAATGGTGGTTCTATCATAGACCCTTCTCTTGACTGAATGGTTGATGTGTTTGTGCCATGTTACTCAGCTGTATGTCGTAATTTCCTGCATGACGTGTGGCTTCCGATACCTGAAAGACTGGACCTGAAAGACTGGACACACGCCAAGGCGCGCGCGGTTTCGTGACTCGCGCCTCGAGGCGCCTTTTGGCCGAACCTCCTCGGTCAGCGGTCGGCCTCCGGCATCACCCGAGGGCGGAAGCTCGGAACCATTCCTTTTCGGTCAGAACACCTTTTTAATCTTTGTTTGTTTCATCCGCAAGCTTTTTGCACCGAACAGAGCAGCTAAAAGGCATCTGAGATGCAAACATGTTTTTTGAGTGAGTTTTGTTTGAGATTTTCGGCATCTCATGCAAAAAGGTTTTGTCGAGTTTTGCTTGACGCTTTTGAGATACTGTTCTTTTTGCTTGACGCTTTTGAGATTCTGTTCTAGCCCCTACTTCCCGTACGCCTTCAGTTAACTCCTTTGGTTTGCACGTAGCTGGCCTCCAAGGTATCTCCAGGCAAGATCAAAGCAAGCAGGACAACAACCTCCACGGAGGACAGGGGTCCACCAAACAGGGTACCAACAAAAAGGATGTCGCCAGTTTCCAAGGACGACCCAAACCTAGTCCCAAACCTATACCTTGTAGATCCTTGAAGTCAAGAGAAGGATCTTGCAATATCTTGCAAACAATTCATTCACCTGGATGGTTTTGCGTGGCTTCTGCCCGCGCAGGCTTCAACAACTCTTTCATTCAGCTTCCTGGCGGGAACCGTGGAAGTTCGGCATTTGGTCGTTCTGGAAGATGCATGGACCCATCACAAGCACCCGGGTTGGAGGAGACTGGTTACAAGTGCGATGTGCCAGCATATCGTCGCATGGTCCGTCCATATAGGTGTTTCATTCTAGACCAAAAATATGGCCACACGTGTTTGAATCAGCTTGCAGCCCGAACACCCAGCGTGACCAGATCTCGAAGCTGAGCTCAAGTAACCCATGGGGATGGCCCCTTCATGGTCTTCATGCCGATTCGGCGCCGATTCGACGCCACACGATGGACGCCGCAAGAGAGCCACGCCAGACGATCACGCTTCGACGCTGCACCCGTGAGTGTCGTCGTCGTCGCATGGAGCCAAGCCGTGGAGCCATGGGTCCTCCAGGTTTTGCGGCCTCTCGTCCTCCAGGATCAAGTACGGCTCAACGGCTTGGGGCACCTGGGTGGCCGGTGGCCGAAGCCGGATACCCATGGCCTGGCGGAGCGTCCGTTGGTTGGTTCACCAAGCCTTGGAAAGAAGGTTACAATTTGGAAAATCCCAGGTGGAAAGTTTGGCCCACCTTTTTTCTTTGAGTCAGTGGCTGAGATGAACACCGTTTTTTGCCGGGGGGAATGGACGAAGAAGATCAATCGACCGGCCACCGGAGACCGATCCGGAGGGTGAAGCTCACCAATGGCTGGGGGGAGGTGAAACAGGGCTTCTTCAGGTTTCGCCTTCGCATTGGTTCTGCCCAATGTGTGCAAGAGACTTCATAATCTTCATTGGGCTAGCATCAATAGGATGAGTGAGATGGAATGATGTTCTAAGATTGAACACTAGCTTGGATGCTTGTTAGCTCACTAGCTTGCACTCACTTGGATGGTCAAAGGAACGAGTCGGATGTGAAACTCCACCGAGGCCATGCTTTGATGACACTCCTGCAGGGCTTTGCCTCCAGGCGGATAGTTTTTTTGTTCTCAGAGAGGTGGGGGAACCACTTGAGTGGATCATCATTTTACGGGAGTAGATTTCCACATGTGTCCCCTGGGCGAAGCTCTATTAAGTCTCAGGCTTCCGGTAGGCCAACCTCTTGCAGTAAGCTTTTTGCTGTTGTCCAAAGTTGTCCAAGGGACCGGCACTTCCCAGGGCAAATCCAACATGAAGCTCACTGCAGACTTCGCGAAAACTACCACACTCTGACCCCTACCCTACACCTCCAAGTACCTCCTCAGAAGGTATGACTGGACCCTCCAAAAACCCACCCCAGTCCCACCGAACCTCAGGTTAGGTACGACTGGAGACCTAGGGATGTATCGCAGCAGACTGCTAAGCCAACAGGCATGTCCCGAAACCGACGACCGTGAGGCCCCGGCTGCAAGATGAGGTCTGCGGGCTGAGATGGTCTGAGTGCTGTGCATGGGCAGCGGCGGACATGAGTTGTTCACTCCCAAAATTGGCCCCTGGAGAGGTTGAATCAACAGCCCAGCCAGGTCGCCCATCCCATATGTACCGAACGTTCAGGTCGACCTCAACCTCTCTTGGAAGATCTGCAGTGGGAGTTGGAGGGATCAAGTGTCACGGTCTCCACGGTCCAAATGCACGGTCTCCACCCTCCGGGCGCGGCGAACGAACGGACCGGACGCCCCAAAGAGAAAGCAACACGTCCCAAAACAGGTCCAGTCTGACTTGGTAAAACCTGGTCCTTTACCTCATTGAGTAGTGTAATTATAGGAGTGTTTTAAAATATACAATCAACTTCAGCAAAAGGAGGCCAAACTGACCTGTAGGGTATGTTTGTGATGGTTTGTGCGTCCGGTCATGTCAAACGGAAGAGCGATGGCAACTGGGGACATTGGTACACTCCCGGGTGGGAATCATCATAGTTACGTGGATGGCATGGCTCCGACGATGCATGACCATGGCTCCGAACACCAAACAGTTGAATTGGTGAACTCCGAATTCGATGATATCTATATTTTATATATAACATATACATAGAGGCGGTATAATGATTCAATGATACACCCCCGTCAAGACTTTTGGCTCAGTCTTCTCCAGCGGTCGCTTCTGGCCATAAGTACTTCGGATTTGAACCAAAGAGATGTGAGGGTAGTGTAGTAGAGTAGCAATGTTACATATAAGTCACCAAGCAAAACACACATCATCTAGAGAACTTACTGTATGTCGCATGGCAACCAAAGGTCAGTCCAGCCAAGGGTCAATTTGCTGGTGAACTGGTCTATGTACTCACAGGTTAGCACTTCAACCTGCAAACCCAAGCACCCAGACACAAATGGACAGTGGACCGTATACCGCAACAACTAGGCATGTTGTTTGGAACAATTGTTATCAGTGTGAGGATCTTGTTTGTAGCTGGCAAGACTGCTCTCCTTGTGCGTTGCTCTCCTTGCCCCCTCCGACATGTTTTTGTCACGATGCGTATAGCTTTTGCTTTGAGGTTTTGAGCCTCCTTTCGCAAATGGAGCTCGAGTGTGGCACCCCAAGCACAAGCATGGCAGCCGACCAAGAAGAGGGGTCGCTTCCAGGTCTTAACGAACAAGGAGTATTTTACATCGAAGTATATCGACGGAGCTTGCCTTGAAATCCAGAGGTGATAGTATTAATTATATAGCATGATCATCCCACTGTCAAGGTCCAACTCCAGTTGACACCTTTGTATACAAGGCCCCGTGTAATGACCCCATTCTGCTTTCAATGGTCAAGCTGGTAATTAATGGACTGCATGATGCACTGGAGTTGGCAAATGCTAGAGCTCCATAAACTTGAGTGGTACACTTCCGTGACCTACTCATCAAGCAACAGCTCACCAACCAGCTGGCAGTACATCATTTTTCCTGGGCAAAGGGTGATGTGAGCTCTTGAAAACGCTGAACACCTGGTTTGGAAGAGCTTGGAGGCTCCTATTTGAGGCCCCTGGCAGCTGCACTCCCTCGCTTTCAGGCTCTTGCCGGACGACCTTGAGAGGAACGCGCGGTCGGTGCCACCGGTCCGGGTGGGTGGGAGGGGAACCTGCGAGCTCGGTGTCCCCAGGGAAAGCATGGTTAGAGGATGTTAGAGGGGGAGGTCGATTGAACATCAATCAACCACCCGCACTTGAGAGGTGGTAGTCTGATTTATAGCCATTGGGCCATGCATGTGTTTTGTTGGCTAGACCTCCTTCCACAGATCTTCTTGATACCTTGCAGAAACAAACAAACAACGCAGGGAAGAACTCGTGTTCGAAGCATGCTGAGGGGGCTGGAGCCTGGATGAGCCTGGCAGGCAGACCTCCTTCACCAGACCCTTCCGCGGGCGAACCCCCGCACCGCCGGCGTCTCGGGCAGGATCCACCGGTGCCTCGCGCCCGAGCAGCTCCACCTCCGGGCGGTTCGGAGACCTCAGTGCCGCGCGACGTTGGCCGAGCGTAGGGGCCGGCGCTGGGGCCGAGGAGATGTTTTGTTGAAGGAACCGCTATTTTCCGGTGTTTTCTTCTACTGTTTTTGCTTTTGCTTCTGCTTTTTGCTTCTGCTTTTGCTTTTTGCTTTTGCTTTTTGCTTTTGCTTTTTGCTTTTGATTTTGCTTTTGCTTTTTGCTTCTGCTTTTGCTTTTTGCTTTTGATTTTGCTTTTGCTTTTTGCTTCTGCTTTTGCTTTTTGCTTTTGCTTTTTGCTTTTGCTTTTGCTTTTTGCTTTTCCTTCTGCTTTTGCTTTTGCTTTTTGCTTCTGCTTTTGCTTCTGCCTTTGCTTTTGCTTCTGCTTTTGCTTCTGCTGACTTTCTTTTTTGCATTGACACTGCCACAAAGTTGGATGATAAGACCTTCACCTTGAGCTTTGACACCCAATTATACACCAATCAATAAACGAAGCAGCCCAGCGCTGTCTATATTTGATTTGCATTGCGGGGGAGGCGCTGCGCCCTCCCCCGCACC